TTGGTGTGTGGTTGGGGGGGGTGTATGATTGGTGTGTGGTTGGGGGGGGTTGTATGTCGGTGCGCGTGTACGTATTTGTTTTGTATATGTATTTAAACATACGAAACATAGGAGCCCGAATGATGAATTGATTGATCGTGGGTCCTCAAAATAAAGGAGAAGAAGAAGAAGATTGGTTGATTGTTTCATAGATGGGTTTTTTGAATATCGGTATGGATGTGGTTCATGTATGGATTGATGAACATTGGCATGGATAAGCTTTCTTTACAATAAAATTACAATAAACCAATGTTTTGAATTAAAATTACGCTTTGAACATTGTCATCTTCTTGTTCATATTTCACTATATAATTTTTATATTGGTTCATATTATATTATGTAAGGTTAATATTGGTTCATATTTTTTTTATGTTGCTACTTCCATTATCTCAAAGAAATTATCCATAGAATTATAACGTAACACCTTTCTTCTATCTAGGTGAGGATCTGAACCAGGTCCTGCTCGCGATCCTCTGGCAACAACAGCACACAGCAACGCACCGGAAGCGACGCTCCTCGATGCAGCAGGCGCATGCCAAAGAAAAGTAATACAAATCACTTCCGGATCGTTGAAACACGAGCTCAGGGGCCACGCACCACAAGAACGCCCATTTCACGCGGGATCACCACCAGCATGAGCAAATCGAGACCCGACCGAGTCTTAGTTGCTTCAGATTCCGACGAGGGCGGCCCACCCGAAAATTCCCCCCGTGTGGCCGGACACCGCCGTAAGCAGTCTGACAAGACTACCCCCATGCAAATTGTTACCAGGAGCAAGTCGGGAAAACTAAAGCAGCGGCCTGGAGCGGAAACACGGAGTTTCCTTGACGAGATTTATCACAAGCTTAAAGGGGGTGATAATCCTAATCCCATAAAGGACAAGGATGGCCAGGCGGCCACCAAATCAAGGGACGGAAGGGCCACTAGGACTGGACCGGCGAGGAAAAACTCGAGGCAGAAAATAAGCTGTGACGATGAAAACCCAGGTGCTTTTCCGCTCAATGAACTTCACACGACTCCTCAAGTCCATGACGCGAAAGTTCAAGATGGCGGCAGCATTACTTCCGAGTCTAAAAAATCTACTCGTCGGGGTTTGGCCAGAAAGAAGTCTCTGAAGAATGGCAGTTGCGATGATGTAGGTCCAAATGTTTCACCGCCATGTGACCTTCACGGCACACTTAGTGACCGCGACATAGAGACACTTCAAGATGGTTGCGGCATCACTTCCGAGTCGAAGAAGACCACTCGCCGTGGATTGGCCAGAAAGAATTCTGAGGCGGTCGCCACCCCCAATGACGTAAGCACGGTGGCGTCTGCTTATAATGCTTCTATTTACTCTCAAGCTGGCATAAAACCACATACATTATTTCAGGATGTTGAACCTTGTGGTACAGATGCAGCGCTGAAAACATCAAGCATAAGAAGAAATCAAGGATCGAAAGAAATTCCTAAGACATCCAAATATGACGATACGGCTAAGCTTTTGGACGACCTGCCTCCCATCAGATCACCCACCCCGCCCAGGGTGCGACCTAAAAGTCGCCCCAAGACCAAGAGCGTGAGTAAAATCATGTCCCGCGCTCTTAAAGCCCTCGACCAGGTGCGAGCTCGTCTGGAGCAGACGGCAACACCGCAGAGGAAAAGCCACCGCGCGGACAGTGACGTGGAGCTGCTCTACGAAGAGAACAAAACTCGCGTTCAGGTCAAAGTACGCTACCTCTTAGCGGTTCATCGCATCGAGATGAAGGCGAGCGAGCCGTTCCACGCCCTGACCACCAAACTGGCAGAGGTGACGGGACAAGATGAGAAGACCTTGACCTTGTACCTCCGAGACTGCTGCCTGGGCCTCTCGGAGAGCCCGCTTTCGGTCAACCTGACGGTGGCGGACATCATCGAATGCCACTGTATGAAACCGGAAGCTGACCAGGTCGCCAGCTCCAACCACATCAACCTGGTTATCCGAAGCGTTGCGGCCAAGACGAGGACAACCCTGTCGGCGAACATCCGCAACCCAATGAAGGAAGTCATGGATAAGTACGCAGCCATGAACAATCTCAATTCTTCAACTTTGGTATTCACATTTGATGGTGACGAGCTTTACCCACTGGATACTCCCCTGAAGCTGGATTTGGAGGATGGTGATTGTATCGATGTTTGATCACTCCTAACTCAATCATGTTTTCAATTTTTTGATTTTTTTTTTTTCCTTTTTTTTTTGTTTTTTGTTGATTTGTTTTTTTTGTCGCCTTTTTCCCCTCAGTTCTTCATTTTTTTTTTGCCTCATTTTTTCCCATTTTATTTTCTCATTTTCTTCAAAATTTATTTTCTCGTTTGAATTTCATACTTGTTTGGTTATCTTCTCTTGTGACTCTATTGTTTTCTAAGGAAAAACTTGCACGAAATAAAAAAAAATAAAAAAATTTGACAGCGAAAAGATTTTTTGTATGAAAAGCTAGATTTGCTGCCGTCTACATTCATAATGGTGTTCATACATTTATAATATTTTTAAAAAAGTACCGGTCATTTAAAATAAAAAGAAACCCTTTTGAGAGTCCTTATGACATGTTTGTAAATATCCTTTAAAAAACAAAAAAAAAACAAAAAAACACAAAAAACACAAAAGCAATAAAAAAAAAAAAGAACATACAAGATGGAATTTTTAGTATAATTCAACTGAAAAAGATGGTTACAATGTTTAACAACGGTTCTGTTTACAAGTTTCCTGTTAACATTTTTAAAAAAAAAAAAAAAAAAAAAAAAAACAAAAAAAACAAAAAAAAAAAAAAAAAAAAAAAAAAGAACATACAAGATGGAATTTTTAGTATAATTCAACTGAAAAAGATGGTTACAATGTTTAACAACGGTTCTGTTTACAAGTTTCCTGTTAACATTTTTTTTTTTACTATTAGTCCATGCTAAGTGATAGACAATGTGTTACTGTTATATGATAGCCCATGTAGTAGTGTTAACCCTTGTATTAGTGTTAAGCGATAGTCCATGTGTTGGTATCAAATGATAGCCCATGTAGTAGTGTTAACCCATGTATTAGTGTTAAGTGATAGTCCATGTGTTGGTGTTAAATGATTCTCCATATGTCATAGTTTAATGTTAAATATTAATCCATAAGTTAATGTTCTTTATCATCCATATGTTAGTGTTAAATGTTAGGAGGTTTAACTCTTATTCATATCAAGGGGGACATTAGCCAAATGTATTTTAGTATTCACATCGTTCGACTTAAACAAGGAATTTTTAAAAATATATATAATGAAAAACTCAACGTTAAGTCTTTTATTGACTTACCAGTTACATTTACGTCCACATCTCTTGTACCCACACAACCCCTCCCCACCCACACAATCCCTCCCACCCACACAATCCCTCCCACCCACACAACCCCTCCCCACCCACACAACCCCTACCCACCCACACAACCCCTCCCACCCACACAATTCCTACCACCAACACAACCCATCCTACCCACACAATCCCTCCTACCCACACAATCCCTCCCACCCACACAACCCCTCCCACCCACACAATCCCTACCACCCACACAACCCCTCCTACCCACACAATCCCTCCTACCCACACACCCCTGCCCCCCCACACCCCTCGTAAAGACATTCGAATAACAAATAAAACGAACACACATCACAACATACCGCGATCCGTGCATGTGAGAGGCCTAGCCCCCCCCCCCCTTCCCCTCCCAAACTTTAACAAAAAACACCAACAATGCGCCCACATCTACAGTTGTGTACACCTAAAAACCGCCCTCCCACATCCTCACACAATGGACAAAATTTGTAAAAACACACCCCGGAACCCACAAGTGTCCAAAAAAATAAAAAAAAGTCCCTAATCTCCAGTCATGAATGTCAGCCATTGTGTGGCGCTATTTTCTCACGACCCCGTGACAGCCGTTTTTGTCCTGCCGCCTATGGATACGTGGATTGTCCATCTGAAGCCTGGACTTAGAGGTCCTCGTCAACAATCCATCGCTTTCGCTTATTTACCCCCAACTCGTTCTCATGCGCTGCGATTTTTCTCTGCCTGACATTGACCGAGGGAACCCCGAGGGAACCCCGAGGGCATCATTTGTTGTTAAATAATTAGAGCAGCGCGGTTCTCACACATTATCATTGGCAACATAATTTGTTTTCTTAGATCGAGTTCATTCTTTTCTCACAAAGCGCACGGAGAGATGTTCATTCTTAAATACATCTTTCTTTTTTTTTGCATCTAGTTATAATGCATTAAGAACTGAAAAAAAGCCACATGGAAATGGTTTATATATGTCCAAGGTTCGTATTGGATTCCCAGGCTTGTCACCAGAAGTAGATCATCTTAAGGGCATCGTATTGGTAGACACACACACACACACAAAAAGATGGAAATGAGCAACTGTTGGGGCATGCTTGAGAAAAGCACAGTCGAACTGTCACCTTAACTGCTCGTTGATTTAGGTGGAGTTTGTTGGGGGGAGGGGGGGGAGGTGGGTAGCTGTCTCGTCTATGGACAGATGTAAACATGCTGTACGGCAATATGAACGCCTTCTCTGAACGCCTCTGATATCTTAATGGGATTTTTAGTTGCGGTGATTTCTCTTTCAGTTAATGCCGTCAGAAAACGTAATTTATTATTTAAAATCCTAATAGAAATGGTTGCCAAACAGTAGTGCTCTATAAGCCATTTCTACACCAAGAGACAAACTCTCCAACTCTATGAAACATTGACGACCCTTGGCTCAGAACAAAGCAGATTGAGACACATACGATTACTTATGGTTAGACAAAATACAAATTCAGATTTTTCGGGCACATGCCTTCACCAACTCAACAAAACATACCAATATAATAATAATGTAAAAGGAACATAGTATATGCATATCCTACCTGTACCTACAAGTGAAAGAAAAGACTGAGAATGGAGACAAGCCCTTAACGAAAACAAAGATCAGAAGAACCGAAACACAGTGCGTGTGGAAGTACAATATGAAAACCAAACAGGGAAAAAGACATTGAAGCTATATGTCAAATTGTGAATTTGGTTCATACCGTTTCCTTAATTAACTTTCCCATGTCAGTTCTATCAGGTGTGACACTCGCATACAATCTGTAACGGGTACCTGCAAAATCGCATTTTTTATGTACACGCGCATTGTTTGTCTCTCATTAATCTACTTACTAGCTCGGTCGCAGTCCACAACATAGGCTCAGACCACACCACATATCTCCACAGCCTTATGCTGTAGCCATTTTTGTCGCACACATTATCCATAAAAATATTGACAAACATGTCCGGTAAATTTAGAACGTCATTAAATATATATATATAAATATATATATATATACATATATATATGTATATATATATTTATATTTAATGACGTTCTAAATTTACCGGATATATTTATATATTGATAAAGTTCATTCTTAATTAAGGCTCGAAGCGCAATAAGATACATGGCGCACCAATACAAAATCTACATATAAACCAATGGAAACTACAAGCCAATAAAAAATCTATTGTTGTAATTGGGAATAAGAAGTCAGAATCATTCCCCCCCCCTCCTCTCTCCCCCACCCCCGAAAAAAAAATAAGGGGAAAAAAAGGACATTGCTTGTAAATATTCAACAACAATAAATGTTACATCAAACGATCTTCTTGATGTTATATCTCCAGTATCAATCATAACTCATTGGATGAATAAACTTCCTGTGCCATGTATGCTTGGCATTGCCAGACCCGGAGTGTATCTTTTGATTGAGTTATCAGTGTCGTGGTGCTCAAATTCAACAATCAACCAAATACTCTCAGAACCAATGTTGCCTTTACCTACAATTAAACAGCTCTATAAATAATATATTCAAGACTTTCAACACAACTAAAAAATACCGACCAACCAAAGTGTATAAATATTGCCTTATGGCTTGCTAACAGTTTTGGACTCTTTGTTTTGATAGAAGCTTTTGTTTCAAAGGTGATCCTTAAAGGTGTTTTTATTTCAAATGTGTTCTTTAAGGTGTTTTTATTTCAAAGGTGTTCTTTAAGGTGTTTTTGTTTCAAAGATGTTCTTTAAGGTGTTTTTATTTCAAATGTGTTCTTTAAGGTGTTTTTGTTTCAAAGGTGTTCTTTAAGGTGTTTTTGTTTGAAAGGTGTTCTTTAAGGTGTTTTTGTTTCAAATGTGTTCTTTAAGGTGTTTTTGTTTGAAAGGTGTTCTTTAAGGTGTTTTTATTTCAAATGTGTTCTTTAAGGTGTTTTTGTTTCAAAGGTGTTCTTTAAGGTGTTTTTGTTTCAAAGATGTTCTTTAAGGTGTTTTTGTTTCAAATGTGTTCTTTAAGGTGTTTTTGTTTCAAAGGTGTTGTTTAAGTTTTTTTTTGTTTCAAATGTGTTCTTTAAGGTGTTTTTGTTTGAAAGGTGTTCTTTAAGGTGTTTTTGTTTCAAATGTTTTCTTTAAGTTGTATTTGTTTCAAAGCTGTTCTTTAAGGTGTTTTTGTTTCAAAGCTGTTCTTTAAGGTGTTTTTGTTTTCAAAAGTGTGTTTGGGAGTTTTTTTGTTTTTTGTTTTGGTTTCAATGGAGTTTTTTCTGTCAAAAGTGTTTATGTTTCATACATTTGTTTTTGTGGTTTGGTACATTTGAATAGTTACTGTGTGAAAGTCGTGCCTATAACTAGGAGTATATTTGAATAGTTACTGTGTGAATGTCGTGCCTATAACTAGGAGTACATTTGAATAGTTACTGTGTGAATGTCGTGCCTATAACTAGGAGTACATTTGAATAGTTACTGTGTGAATGTCGTGCCTATAACTAGGAGTACATTTGAATAGTTACTGTGTGAATGTCGTGCCTATAACTAGGAGTACATTTGAATAGTTACTGTGTGAATGTCGTGCGTATAACTAGGAGTATATTTGAATAGTTACTGTGTGAATTTCGTGCCTATAACTAGGAGTACATTTGAATAGTTACTGTGAGAATGTCGTGCCTATAACTAGGAGTATATTTGAATAGTTACTGTGTGAATGTCGTGCCTATAACTAGGAGTATATTTGAATAGCTACTGTGTGAATGTCTTGCCTATAACTAGGAGTACATTTGAATTGTTACTGTGTGAATGTCGTGCCTATAACTAGGAGTATATTTGAATAGTTA